TGAAACTCACAAAGTGTTCTTTGGGGAGAGAGACACTGTAAGAACCTCTGAAATGCCCTATTGCTTGAGCCTACCCACATCGATTTTCTTTGGCCTCTGGCTCTAATACATAGTATTCATTCTTTGACTGTTCATTAGACCCATAGTCTCATTTTTTAATGTCAACAAAGCAATAAAGAAAACTTTTTTTCTTTTATTCTAGGACTCAAAACAAAATGTAAAAAATACCTCTGGCATTAATTTTGCACAGATGAATGTTGTTACTGTATTCCTATTAGCATGTCCATGTGCTTGACAACATTTCAGATGGTATTTATAGGCTACCTGCAAGAAAGCATTTTCTGCCAGCCTGATGCAAATTGCCAGAACCTTTAAGACACTTTTCCTCAACTTAGCAGCAGTATATCATCATTACCTGTGGCTAGACCAAGAAATCGCATCTGTCAATGCCTGGATTGCTCTTTTACTTTCAGTGGTTTTAGAAACCCACTTTGTTTTGGAAATGGGGTTAGCTAAGTATATTTTAGAAGACTCAGAAATATAAAAAGCAACAGCTAGGAGATTTCAGAGATATTTAGGATGTTTCATTTTCTATAGTTCGTTGGTCTTTGGAAGATAACCTTTGTGGGTCCAAATGGAATATGGCCATGTTTTGAATGGAGGCCTGGTAAAGTTCTGAGACCATGGAAGTACACCCTGGAATCATTGTGGTTCCTTTAGATCATGAGGAAGGGACAGAATCGTATTAATAATAATTCTTAAAATGTGAGTGTTTTTCATATCCCAGGTTTTGTTTATTCTCTACTTCTTATTATACTACACCAAGTCCTATGGTGAATTGAGAAATGGGGAAACTGAGGCTAAGTCACTTGCCTGAGGTCACACAGCTATTAAATGCTAATGCTAGAACTTGAAGCCAAATTTGTCCCCAAAGCCCATGATCCTAACTCCTGTGCTGTATTAATTATGGCTTAAAGAAAATAAGTGTAATAGCTAATGAATAGGATCTGTGTTTGGACCACTAGAGTATAATAATAGAGGTGTCATAAAAGTCATTTTCTGTGCTACATGAAAATTCTCTCTATTGTTCCATTCTCTAATTTAAAGAATATTTATTCTTTTGGGACTGGCACCAAATTTCAAGTTTACTCCTTTGGAACTGCAAAGAGAGACCGATGTTTTGGGAAACAGTTGAAGGGTCAATTTGCTTTCTTTGTCTTCCTAACTCTATTCTCTTTTTTTTTTTTATACTAAGTGGATTCACTCAAATGTAGAAAACATGAGGTGTTTCCAGATAGAGGTTGCAGCTCTGTGTGAACCAGTTGGGCTTTAAAAATTTCACCTCAGAGTATTCTTCTCTTCACAATATTATAATTCAACAGTGCATGTTAGATGTGTCTCCAAGGAGTTGAAATACTTGATAATAGAACCAATGATACAAATGCAAATGAATGTAGGAGGCCAATGGCATTAAAAAAACTCAATTTCTGATAAAAAAAATGGATGGGGATACACATGCACACACACACATTTTTAATTTTAAACAGAACAAAATGTGACTAATTTTCTTTCTAAAACTCAGTTCTATGTAGGTGAGTGTCAGACCCATATAAGTAATTTAAGAACTGTCTATTTGAAGATCTCATGGTGCAATTTATAGATTTCTCAGTGTGTTTGAGAAATGTGGTCATTACATTTTCTTGTTCTAATTAGTAACACACATATGCCTCTTTTTAGTGACATTATGACATTACTATTCATAAGGCCATTCTTTCTTGAGGACGTCTTCACTTCTGTTGAAGAACTGATTTCACTTTGTTTAAACTTTCATACTGGTTGCTATATGAAATGTACAACTGAATGTCATTAAGGATTTAATATGAATGTATGTAAATTTTACAAGGTTTGCTCAGCTTTCAGGTAGTCCCTGTGTATGAATTCTTATGTTTAGAAGGTTGTTTACTATTCAGTCAGTCTAGCAAATGGGGCCTGGGGCAAATGAACTCATTCTCATGCACATGTTTCTAAAAAAAGTTCTTACTAATGTTTGAGATAAATTAAAATAAAAACCAACAAGAACATGAAAAGAGACTAAGAACAATGTTAATGTGGCAATTTAAACCAATTTGGTTTTCCAAATGACCATCCATCTTTCACAACTTTTAACAGTATGCAAGATCACTATCATTAGTGCCAGATGCTATGAATCTGATGTGGAAAACTTAAAACTTTTTTCTAAATGTCTTTAAAGCTGAGATGGAGAAGAATGACTCTCTCTCTTTCACTTTCCAATGGGTCTAAGGTTGAATCATGGCTATGCTGTTCTCCCAACATATTACTTATTGATTATCCAACATACTTTACTCTTTTTCTAGCCTGTACCATGCCTCAAAATGATTTTTCTATTGGGATTTAGATTTGAAAAAGAGTGTATGCAGAGGGGATGCTTAGGAGGACAAAGAGCCCCCCTATGTATTTTGGAGGAAGTAAATCATTGTACCTTCTTATTTAGTTATTTCAGTGCATATAAAACTCTGGAAGTTGGAAATTTTAGATACTTTTGATTTTTCCTGCATGTTTCCAAGAATATTTACCTTTACATTTGCTCTTGACTTCACTAATCTATTCCACAGTGAGTGGAGTGCAGGGTATCACTATATTTAATGTTGTAGCCAACAACAGTAACAGAAAACCCAAAGTAATAGAATATATTTAAGCTGAATCTGGCACAACCCATTTGCCATTTTTCAGTATAATACTTTAGTGTAACTAAAACTTGAGAGGGGTCAAAACTTATGAAGATGGATGACATCCTTTGTGTTACCTGTCTTCTTTAGGGTTGGATTAAGAGGAAGGGGTATAGGTTCTTTTCAGTGCATGCTCCTTTTCTCTGAACACAAGTGAAAATTTATCCAACTTCATTTTGGATTATTAGAATTCTTAATACCCAGATCTACCAGGGAGGATTATTATAATAATCTCTAATTGGTAACTATATTAACAGATAAATTAACATCTTTTGCCATGGACTTATTGTACGACCAAGAAGTTGCCTTTCTGCTTTTTTCTCCTTGCCTACATCTTCTCCCTCCACCTTTTTTTTTTTCTATGAGAAATTATACTCCATTTATTGGATCTATCCTTTTATATGTTAATATGTTTTATCCCAGCCACATAAGATCCCATTATGTAGGCTAGAAACAGACCCAGTGTTGTCTCTTTCATGAGCTTTGTTTTTGTTGTTACTGTTTTTGTTATTTTTTTATTCCTTGGGAATGAGAATGTGTCAAAAATCATTTGTTCATAGCAGAAATGAATGGGGAATCTTGGAAACATCTCCCAGCATGGCCACTCTTTTCCATGTTACACCTCATGGAAAGCAGGTACCAGTTTAGTCACATGTGGAATCTTTTCTGTGAATAATAACCCCTATAGGAAGGTGGCCTTAAGATTGAAATGCCATGATCACCTTCTACTCACTTGGCCTGATGCTGTATTTAATCCTTACATTCTTTCTGGCTTTTAGACTTCTTTGAAAATGATTTCCAAGATACCTGTTTTGAGATTTTCATTTCGTTTTTTAATGTTGGTGATTTGGAATGAGATTCCCTGAGTCCCAACATAGGTCCATAAGCTAAAAGTCATGAATTAGAATTCGCTAGTTTTTGCTTGATCACTATGAGGTTGGTTGATGAGGTAGAGCAGTTCCCAAAGTATGGCTTCATTATTTTGTGATTCGAAGCATATTCATTAGGGGTATATCTCCACAATACCACTCTCCAAGTCTGTCCTTTTTTTTTTTTAATAAATTAATTTTTATTGGTGTTCAATTTACCAACATACAGAATAACACCCAGTGCTCATCCCATCAAATGTCCCCCTCCGTGCCCGTCACCCATTCACCCCCAGCCCCCGCCCTCCTCCCCTTCCACCACCCCTAGTTCATTTCCCAGAGTTAGAAGTCTCTATGTTCTGTCTCCCTTTCTGACATCTCCCACACATTTCTTCTCCCTTCCCTTATATTCCCCTCTCCAAGTCTGTCCTAATTAGACAAACCATTCAGGGATAGTAACAACAGTTACAAAAGGAATAAGGGGGCATAGTAGCAGTTAAAAGATTTATGTTTGAGGCTTGAAACTAATTAGATATTTCATGCTTAGAGGAAGTATCCCAAATAGGCTTTTTGAATAGATACATGTTCAGAAAGGACCTCTCATAGAAAGGTAAGAGAGAGAAAGAGACTAGATAACCATATGCAGCTTGCATCTATTAGTAATAAAATATAGATGCTTAAAAGTCTGCTAATACTCCATCACTATATTTATAGCCACTTTGGTTTACAAATATTTACTTTGGGTTTTCTTCTTTTAAAATAGAGTACAAAAAAATTAAAATATGGTACAAGTCTTAAATAGATATAAAGAACCATCTATAATACTCCATCTATTTAACATATGATGCCAGGGTCTCCTTTATGGAATAAGAAGTCTCCCTTGGCCATCAAGGCTTAATTATCTTTTTCCTTCACCAGAAGATGAAGCAGTAATAAACACTTGAGCAGAGAATAAGGAAGTACATGACCCCATACTTCTGATATGATATAATACTGTAAGAGTAGATCTTGCATGACTGAGACCCTGAGAGTCCCCTACCATGGACTAGTCAATGAACTACTCACAAACCAAGAAATTCCTTGTGCCTCCATTGGCCCAATATGATGAAGAAGGGTAATGGTAAACCCATTTCGATAAATGACCAAACATCTCACTGATTCCCATCTCATGCCACATTTCCAAAATGTGATGGAGCACTGCATAGCTAAGACTAGCCTGACCTCAAACATGTCAACCAAGGGCAGAGTGACTTCGACTCCACCTCTACTAAAGATAAATTGATATCTATTTCTAAAAACTTCATAAACAAACCAAAAACCTAGGATGTTTTTTAATGACGTATTGACTTTTCAGATTGTTTCTTAAGCTGTTTTTTAAACTTTAAAGGCAACACTGATAATGAACGCTTCCAAATGGTAAAACAGAAAATCCCCTTCAAATATAACCGGCCCGTAGAGGAGTGGCTGCAGGAAAAAGGTAACCGTCGTTAAAACTTTCATTTTAAAATCATTTGATTCTAAACCCTCATTTTTAAAGCCTGCAAATAAATGTTCCTTAAATGATAATCGCCTGCTGCATAAATGACTGTTTTAATTTTCATTATAATTTGTGTCAGCTTCCACCTGCCATATGTTGATAAATCATGCTATAATACATTGCCATTAAAATACAGTTAAAGGGACTAACATCTAGCTTGCTATCAGCGTGACAACCACAAACAAGAAATTCCAGGAACCTCTAAAAAAGAAATGTATTATGGCAATTTAACCACTGCATGACATTATTTGTTAATTTGTTTTAACTTACCTCTTATACCAAAGCTTTCTAAAGAAATTTCAAAAGTACTCTTTAAACTTACATCTTGAGGCTGTTTTGGCTTTACTCTCTAGCGTGGATAACAAAAAAAAAAAAAAAAAAATCAACATCAGATCGACTCTTGTAACTTAAACTGCTTAAGACAAATGTTATAAGGGGAGCAGTGTTTTCTAACATTTGTTTTTAAATGAAGAAAGTACGAGAAAGATGAATTTTGCCTTTAGATTCAAACTTACAGAGGCAAAAGTATTTCATAAGAGGTTAATTGTGTCCTAGTTGCTGACTGAAACTAAAAAAAAAAAAAAAAAAAAAAAAAAAAAGCTTATTTTACACTTTGGTTGTATAATACCATTATGTGTTTGATATTTATGCAACAAAAGTGGAAGTAGCTAAGACAATGAGTTGGAAAAGAAAGGCTCATGAAAGGCAAAACAGCAGTTCTATTTCCTTAAGAAAACAACCACTTTGTTAATAAAAGAGGGCAGCGGTTATACCTGATGTTAGAATTTTCTGTGTGGCTTCTGTTTGTTAGGATGTAAACAATTACCTTTCAATGAAGAGAATGCTCTGTTTCCGGAAACTATTTATTCCCTTCTTTCCTGAGCCAGTGTAAGCTACTCTTGTCTCAAGACCTTCAGTGAGTTCTTAAAATTTATAGAGATTTGATTGAGTTATACATAAAAAGTAATTGAATATATTAATATGCAACTTAAGCAAACTTAATTACAGTTTTAAGTTGGGTGACAACATTTAGACCCTTAAACACGGAAAATCCTCACTAAGTCTTAACTGTTTGCCCTGTTTTTAACGTATGTGGTCTAATTAAAAATAAATTAAGAATAACTCTAAAAAGCAAATAATTTTGTTTAGTAATCACCAGCTCATAAAGTCCCTTTAACATTAAAGACTATGATTGCCTCACTTTTTAAAAAGGAGAAGAAAACTAGATGCATGTCTGAGTCTCATGTGCCTGAGAGAACTTTTTTTTCTTTCGATTTTATGTTAGTAATATTTTCTTTTACTCCATCGCCTTTTGAAGTCTAAGTTTAAGAGCATGCCAGGCGTTTTCATTTGTATAAACCATTATAAAGTTATGAGTAGGCTTTTAGTTTTCCTTCTGATAGCATTGTTATTAGTTGGCTTTCATATAGAAGGACACTTTCAAATAGATGAGAAATCGAAGGGGAAGGGTGGTGGTTCAGGGGGAATGGAGGGTGGCTTGCTAGTTTCTTAACCAAATATGTATGTATTTATATATGCACATAATATTGAAAATGATTATTTGCAAACTTGGAGGTTCTTTCTTCTACATTATTTTAACTGAAATTACTTTTTTTACGCATTGGGTGAGTAACGTCTATTCATTCTATTGCTTTACCCCTTCCTCTGTCTAGCTAACCTTCTCTTCAAAAGGAGTAGAAAATATATACCAAAAGACCTTGTAAAGACAATGAGTAAAAGAGGGTAAAGATGGAAGGATGAATAGGCAGATGTATCAGGAAGTACTTGGAATGCCTCTTTGGAGTTATTTCTGTCATTGGAGAAGAGATCTGGGTCACAGCATTCCTGAGTCTGTTTTCTGGCTCTGTCTACTATTGACTGATACTTTCTGACCTTAGACAATCCACTTAACCTCTTTATATCTCAGATTTCCCATCAAAGGAGAGGAGAAATAATACTGCCTATTCCCCAAGGGTGTTCTGAGGTTTAATTAATTAGTCTTTGTGTAACACTGACTGGAGACGTGCAAAGATTTAATTTAAGCAGTATGTGAACTTGATATCCAAATGAGGTAACAAAAATGACTTCCAAGAAGATGGGCACCCAAAGCAAAACAAAAAGAAACCTGCTATAAGCCCTGTACTAGTATAACCAAATTTAGTATTGTGAATGATAGAACAATTCTTAGTTGGGGATATAGATATCATAATTGCTTATTGTAAAACACATGATTGATCATAATGAATGACAATAATGAGATCTGACATTGATTTTGAGAAATCTTGAGCAAATGATAAAACTTGCTCTGGTCAGTCCCTTATAATAACCCTTCATAGGGAAAGGGTAGTGATGACTGGTTCTGAGTTATTCATTTACTCCTCCTTGGCTGAGAGAGGTAAATTGATCAGAGGAAAAACTGGCAGGAGACTGAGTTTCCCATTATTACTTTAGTGACTGTCAGCTTTACTCTGAACTACCTAATCCAAGGTACAAAGGGCTAGGAAAGCATCTTGAAACAGAAGAAAAACAGATCTAGCCAGAAATAGACCATAAAACAGACAAGCAAACAAAAAATCCAAACACTTCCTATAGCATGATGAAAAATGGAAGGATAGACAACCTCCTTCCCTATTTCACCCCACGAGCGTTTTGTTCTCAAGAAACAGTTAGATCTCTCTGGGAATGCAGCAATAGCCAATCATGGAACAGTGGCTTCATCTGTGGAAACATGCCTTGCCCTTCTCTATGCATGGGTTAGTCTTGAACAAAGAAAGACCATTTTATGCAGTATACTATGGCAACTGGAATAAAGGAGATCCATTGTTTCCAGCCAATGTAATTCAATTTTGCATTTCAGTTCTCCCTGACCCTCTTTTTATTTGTAATAATTGGCAGAATAATATCACTAGAAAAATAAGGTGAGGATCATTACAGGTGTGAAGTACTTTCAGAAATATAAAATATCTTGCCTATCACTAGCTATCCCTATTCACTGATCATCCATGCTACAGCATATACCAAAAAGGAGATGAATAAATATTATGGTTGGCCGACAGTTGTGTGAATAGAAAGGATAGCTTAACATTAGGTCTATCTGGTGTAAGCTACTGAATTGAGTCCTAGAGATCTCCTTTTGGGCAGCTCCTCTTTATTATGTTAAGTTGCCCACAAAAGCCTATGCAAGGGTGAAGGTGTATTTATTCTCTTCCATCATGGCATTTCTTTTGCAGTAAGCTTAGACCCCCTCAAAAAAGCTATTGTCAAAGAAATGATAGTAGAGAGAGTTGAATTCCAACCCATTATCCAGTGTTATTGTGCATTGAACATTTTGCTGCATCTTGTGTGAGAAATGAGAGGCCATAGGCCAGGCGATGTTGCATGTGCACAGGGCACTGAAGGAATTGGTAGGAAAATAATAGAAATCTATTAGATCTATTTTGAATTTCCCTTAGGATCTGAACAATTCTGTTATAAAATCCAACAGATTCCATTTTCATGTTCCAAATATTTTTAGAGAGTGCAGATAATTTTCACTATAACAAAATTCTTTGTTCTATTCTGCATACAGCAGTATTTAACACTTTCAAAAAGGTATTATTTATAAATCATTCTTGACTAATATGCCCTTAAGAGTTGTTCCATGAGCAGAATTCACTCTTGCATAAAGAATTCCCTCTGAAAACATACACTTTCTTTTTTTGACTTTTCCGTTTCATCCATTATTATACATTCAGAAGGCATTCCACGTTATATACTCGAAATTCAAGGATAGCTAATCATTGTATAGATTTTAAGACTGTGTATTAGTGGTAGAGGTTAAGAGCCCAAAAATTACAGTATGCCTCTATTCTTATTAGAGATAGTGGCGCAAAAACCTTAGTCTTTTAAAATTAGACTCCCTTTTAATAAGCAGGCAGAAATATTCCAGAACATCCCAGTCATTTATAGCTAAAATAAATCAAGTGATTGGATTAAGAATGATTACTGATTTAAGTGAAGAAAAATTCAAAGAGGATATATTTAATTCCATTAATAAGTTTCTGACCCTTTTCCATATGGAAAAGTGGAAGGAAATAATCCAAAGAAATAATAGCATAGAATGCCTTAGCCTTAAAAAGCTGCATAAGTTTTTCTGGGGAAAATCTAGCACTTAAGAGAGTCTTTTTTTAAGTAGAGGTAGTTGGTAAGAAGATAAATTGAGTTGCACTATTCTAGACTATTATGTCATGATTTCATTCTGATAGTTTTCTATTCACAGAAGCACAAATGGTTCCCCAAATGGGAACTCCAAATAAGTTAAACTATTGCTAGTCCTCAACACATTAACATACCTTTATACCATTTTAAGGAGTTTTTTGTGTTGCTCTTTTTCATTAATATCCATCCCCTCTTTTAAAATTCATTGATTTGGAATGATATTATTTTCTTTCCCCATCCCAGAAACATTATCAACACCTGCTTATTTCCCATGTTTTAGGGAAAGATAGAATTGTGTGACCATAATTCCATCCCTCCCCAGAAGAGGTAGGAAATTATCTGTTGTGATGTTAATTAAACAGAGAGTATAGATAGAATATTATGTATCATGAAGATTTCTAGAAAATGAGGTGTTGGTGAGTAAACTTTTATTTCTGTAAGTATGCAGTGAATCCAAATCTTTTAATTGGAATTTAATTTAGTTTCAGTTAATTTAATTATCAGACTTTTTTTTTTTTGAATTCAGCATCCTGAGTTACCTCCCTGAGTTTTTGTTTGCCATATATAATTCTTTTAGTAGCTGTTATATAACTTTGTAGGTTAAAACTTAGTGCAATTGGTATTTATTACTGTCATCACCTGATTTGGAGGTTCCATTCTGTCATTCACAACTACATACCTAAGAAGACTGCAATACTGTACATCATTGAACCAAGATTTCTCTTTCCTCACAATAATAAAATAGAGACTAAATTATTCAGCTTATCTAAGATATTCAGCTAGACAGTGGAAGAGATAAACATAGTGAAATGTTACTTGCTAATATTCATTGAATTTTTGTTATCCAGTTTTCTCCCCTTCAATTGCTCAAGGAAGCCTTTTTTGATACCTGGTCCATTCAGACTAGGTAAAGCAAAGAAAAATAACATATGGGAATAATAATGTTTCCTCCACCCAACCCACTAGGCCGGCAGTTAACCATCTTCAACACCCAGGCGCAAATAGCCATCGGTGGAAAAGACAAAGGACGTCTCTTCCAAGGCCAGCTCTCTGGGCTCTATTATGATGGTTTGAAAGTACTGAACATGGCAGCTGAGAATAACCCTAATATTAAAATCAATGGAAGTGTCCGACTGGTGGGAGAAGTCCCTTCAATCTTGGGAACAACACAGACGACCTCCATGCCACCAGAAATGTCTACTACTGTCATGGAAACCACCACTACAATGGCTACTACCACAACCCGCAAAAATCGCTCTACAGCAAGCATTCAGGTAAGTCTTTCTCCAACTCTTAATTGATTCTGCTTTTTTTTTTTTTTTTGTCTTTGAGATGTTACTATAATATCAGTTTCGCTATGTTGCTAAAGAGTCCGAATTACCATGTTTGTAGGGAAGATGCCTACAGATTTTCACAGTAATAAGATGGAATAGAGAGAGACAAATTCATTGCTAAAGAAGTTATAAAAGTTTTGCGTGTACTTACAGGGTATTATTCCTATCATATTTATTGCCAAAATGGTAAAACTGTTATTCAAAATGAGCAATGGCTAACAATTTCAGTATGAAATACTCCTCCATTTATTTCATTATTTTTCTTTTCAGTAGTAAAAAGGGAAAGAGGGGAAAGGAAAATTTGTTATCATCGGAGAGACTATATCCTAGTTTAGTTCTATTCACATCCTCTTGATGGATTTGCTGAAACATGAATTGTTAAGTTTTAAGGCCAATAGGTAGCATTAAATCAAGGGCAATTGAAGCTAGAAGTTCAACTAATGCTTATAAAATGTAATCTTTGCTTTTTTATTGAGTGTTGACCAATCACTTGTTATTTTTTTATCTATTTTGTTTCTTCTATATTTGACCGAGATTCTATATGACAATAGATATTGTGAAGGTCTGAGTTTAGCTATGTAGGAAGTCTTTAGTTTTGTGGTAATGGTTTTGTTTTTTCACTTAAAAGTAATTATACCCAAGCTAAAGCTTAATGCTTTGCTGGCTCCCTTGGCATTTCATAAATCTAGTTAGTAGGGGATAGGAGGTTAATCGAGTTATTAGCCTTAAATGCCGTGGCATAAAATAAGACATTCCAATTGCTTGTGGGGGAAATTACCCTGAGCCTAGTTAGTGTTTATAGAAGATTCAGTAGATCAGTACTTGTCCTTTCTGTTTCTTAGTTTTAAGACATTATCCAGGAGCTCAATTGAGTCTTTGACATCACCCTCTCATTGATTTCAGTGGGCACTGTAAACATAAAGTCAATAATCAATTAAACCCCATATATGTTCTCATTCTTCTGAATTAAGTTTATGCGAGTTAAGTAGAGGTAAAAGTGTTGTCTTCCTTTTCCCTTTTCTTTGGGTAGAAATACCCAGGCAGCTCTTTACATGGTTTCATGGGAACAATTCAAGGCTGTATGCACTGATGATGTTATCAGGCCAATTTTATGTATTTTAGAATGGCTACTAAGAATCGAGTTAGCATAGCAGTCTTATAGTTGTGTGTGCTGTTACATGTATACCTACGCACATGCTCAAAAAAGAAATGGCGTCTTCTCTACTGATATTAAAGCAATAACTCCTGACACTTCACTCTACTCACTGAAAAGAAGATAAAAGGCAATATATATTTCTATTATGACTCTCTATAGCTCAAGAGCAGATCTGTTTATGGTTGGTGAACGGATAGTTCTGTCTGCACAGGTCCTGGCAGACTTGTTTTGTTTCTGTCGTAATACATTCCACTAACTCTGTGGGAAGCAGAGGAACAAATGGCTTTTTCTTCATAGGAGTGGCTGGTCCTGTAGTCTTTTTCAAGGCCAAATTTTTACTGACCTCAGAAGGATTTAATGTTACATAGGGATTCAGGGACTAAACCATGGCAATTATAGGTTTTGGCTTTTCCTCCTGCAACAAATACACAAATAGGAGAAGAGTGGGTGAGTCTTTCCAAAAGCTAAAAAAGCTAAACTTGCAGATAAGAGTAGGGTACAGGTACAAAATCTTGCAAGTGATTATGACTCTGAACATCATAAAATCTATTGTCATTTTGGAAGATGTGGACAGCTGGAGCATACCCTTCTAACTACTTCCTGTTAGAGTTTCTTTTCGTTTGCATCCAGTGATAATTAGATTTCATCTACATATCTTTCCTTTTCCTTCTACCATGGCCATAAAGATGAGTTATATATCTGTTGACATTCTTGTTGTTAAGGACGTGTAAATGCAAATTCTTAGAGAAAAGACAACAGGCTAGTAGAATTGTACTAGAGTGGGATGAGGGATCAAAAAGCTCCAAATTCTTTGTAAAGATTAGCTAGAAGAAATAACTTTATGCCAAGAATTTTGGACTTTTTTGTTCTTGCCAACTAGCCATAAGAACTTTGCCCTAATACTTACTGTGATGATCACAGAGTGTTACGTGTAAGTGATGAGTCACTAAATTCTAGTCCTGAAACTAATATTACATTGTATATTAACTAACTGGAACCTAAATAAAAACTTGAATCTAAAAAAAAATAAAATAAAAATAAATAAATAAATAAAAAACTTTGTCCTGGGCTCCATAAAAACTCAGTAGCCTGCCTTGTCTCCAAACTTTTTCTGACCTCAAGTACAAATTATACCAAGCCTGTGTTAGAACTGGGGACCTTAGGGATCCCTGGGTGGCGCAGCGGTTTGGCGCCTGCCTTTGGCCCAGGACGCGATCCTGGAGACCCGGGATCGAATCCCATGTCGGGCTCCCGGTGCATGGAGCCTGCTTCTCCCTCTGCCTGTGTCTCTGCCTCTCTCTCTCTCTCTCTGTGTGACTATCATAAATAAAATAAAAAAAAAATTAAAAAAAAAATAAAAAAAAAAAAGAACTGGGGACCTTAGATTTAGAACAATTCCCAGACTCTGAAGACTTTGGATGAGGAAGGTCAGTCTCACAAGTTCTTATGTATCCTTGTGTGACCCAGCTAATTTTCTTGAGTGAACCGGGCTCATGAAAATTTGATCTGTGGGAAAAAAGAAGTGAGGAGGACTGGATTTCATGTTCGCCAGGCCAATTATGTGTGAAATCTTACAACCTTTTCCAGATGATACTCTGTTCTGTCTTCCTTTGCTTTGATTGCCTTGATAGACCAGAAGACTCTTCCAATAGAAATAAAATTAGCATTAAAAACTTGGTGTAAAACCCTCTGGTTATACAACAATCTACTGGTTCCTTCTTTAAGCATAAGCTAAGAAAACATCATTTGAGCAATTCACTTCTGATTGACTTTGGTTTGTGTTGATTTCAGATCAAAGGAAAACTGCCAAGCACTTTCAGTGTTGCTCTTACCTGTGTGTGAACATAAACAGTTTTTGAGTTGACATGCTCTAGCCTCCTGAAAATAACCACTACTTTGATCTTTCTGAGACTCTAGTTTGTTACAGAACTGCTTGTGTATCACATGGACTGTGTTAAATTATAGCTATGGTACCCAAATATCAGGTCTTTACCCTATATTAAAAAGAATGTGTCTAAGGGTGCCTGGGTGGCTCAGTCATTTAAGCATCTGACTCTCTGTTTCAGTTCACATCATGATCTCAGGGTCCTGAGAGCAAGCCCTGCCTCAGGCTCCCCACTTAGCAGGGAGTCTGATTCCCCTCTCTTTCCCTCTACCCCTCCCTCCACTCCTGCACACTGTCTCTCTAAAATAAATAAGTAAATCTTTAACAAAAGAAGGAGAGGAGGAGGAGGAGGAAGAGCAGGAGGAAGAGGAGTGTGTTTAGGTCCTCCCTGGAATATTAAAAAAAAAAAAAGTTAAGATTGAGAAAGCAGGGGGATGCATTGAGAAGGCAGGTAAGTACATTGAGAAAGCAGGTGAGTGAGTGATGGTATTCAAGTAAGAGTAGGTGCTCACTGAATATTTATTGAGTAAATTGGAAAACAAAATAGGCTTTATTACATACCTTATCATCATTTAACAACCAGAAGTGGCATGGCTTACATTTTTCCCTCTAGAATGATCAGTGTGTTTTGGACAATTTTAATTTTTCTTCAGTGGTAAGGCCATAGCAGTGATTAAATGCATGTATTTGGAGTCAGGCTGCCCGGGTTTAAAATGTAGATCTTCTTCATATTAGTTAAGTGACTCTGAGTCATATGTTGTGGCTAACTGTTGTTATGGAATGGATTTTCCCATAGTTTAGTGGCTTAAAATAGCAACTGTATCATTGGATCTCACAATTTTGTGGCTCAGAAATTTGGGCAGGGTTCAGCAAGGCAATTCTTCTGCCCAACATGGAGTTGACAGAGGTTGCTCAGTGGCTGCTCTGGTCTGGAGAATCTGGCTTCACTCACACACTTGTGTCTTGGTGGGTTAACTAGAAACACTGGACTCAGCTGGATGCATTGATCTCTATGTAGTTTTTAGTTCATGGAGGTTCAAGGGTCCTAGAGAAAGTTTTTCCAGGTTTCTAAGTTACAGGGAAAGGAAATATAAACCCCACTTCTTGATGGGAGGATAGCAAGAATTTATAACTAACCTAAATCTACCACTTTGTATAATTAGAGAGAGGGAAGGATACTAGTAGGGTACAGCTTATATTGTGGGATTGTTGTGAGGTTAACTGAGTTAATATGTGTAAAACGCTTAAAACAGGTACGTCTTGTAAAGTAAGATTAAATATGCTTTAACCTTATTATTTTATTCTATCCCCAACATTTGTTATGAAAGTCAGTATCCTCTCAAGCAAGGATCTACCTCAGAAAATAGGGCTGCTTCTACTAATAGTATCTGTAGTTCAGATTGGGGGCTCAGAGCTTTTGGGGGGATAGAGATTTGAAGGAGAGTCAGGGTAGAATTTGGAGGCTGGAATCAGTCCTGCAAATGAAAAGTTCCTAAGTTCTCAGGAATGAAATTCTCTGATAGCTCACTTCCCATCTTTATTTTTTTTCTTTCATTTTAAACCAACCTGGAGTTTTGTGGGCCTCAGAGACTATGTTCTTTATGAAATATATCTATCCACATGTTTTTAAGGTTACAAAGAGAAAAAATCCAGGATCTTTGCCATGATGGAGCTTGATATTAGCAAGCAATATGAGGTAGTGACCTACAAATGGTGCTGGCATGGAGGAGAATGAGGGAGTTGTATGGAATGATTTGGCTGGATCTCATAAATGATGTGGGAATGGAACTGGGCCTTGTAGAATGAGTATAATTGGATACATGGTAAAGAGAAACAAATCTCAGGTTAGCTAAATGTCAGAAGCTAAGTTGTCAAACTCAGGGATGATAATTCCTGAGA